AACTGGGGTCTGAACGCTTCAGCAGACAATGTAACAAAACACGTGAAACAGGCACCGCAGGTAACCTGCCGGGGGTCTGAGAAAGCTCTGACAGGAACCTGTCAGGGCGGGAAATGGCGGTGCAGCTTGCAGGCACCCAGCTGCCTCCTGAAGTGCTCCGGCTGGGGCTGGACAGGGCAGCACTTGTTATCACAGCACCAAACACGCACCCGCTTTGGCAGACCCTCCTTGCGCGGAGCTGGGGAGACTGGTGAGTGAACTGAGGGGGCCAGGGCACTGAAGGCAACACTAAGGACATTTCCTCTGCTGGCTTGCAGAGGCTTGGCCAGCCAAGAAACTGGCTTGCCAAACCAGAGGTGGGAACAGACTGTGGGCAACCTGACGGAGGGGCGAAATGCCTGAGGAAAAGGTGAAGCAGCAGCAGTCCCCAAAGGCTCTATTTAAAACAACCTCAAAAACTCCCAGCAAGACTAGGCCTTTACTCAGATTACACACTCAGGAGAGACACAAGCTGTCGGTAGAAAACCCAGAGAATGAACCTCTGCCTTAATGAAAAGCTCAATTCGGTCATTACGTCCCCTCATAGCTACTACTTTCTCACACACATTACAACTACAGTGCTGCCTAACATGCTCTTTAAATCAGAACATCGTTCTTTTTGTCACTTAGTAGCATCACCTTTTTGCTTTCTATTAGGTTCAAAAGACCAAGCACACTGAAATGAAGGAAAATTAATTATTTTTTTATTAGCTCCTGGTGTATTTTTAAACTACAATTAAGCCATTTAATTCCTCAAAAAAATTAATGAGAATGGAGTTATTACGGTAAACTATTGACAGACTATAGCACAGGGCCTAGCCTCTGCAGATGCCATGCAAACCGCATTAAACGTGTGCCTTAAATTTGAAGCAACAGCAGACACATATTAAAAATATATATGACTTGCTCTGTGAAACATTAATATGAGCATTACACAAAAATGAATGGAACTATCTCATGTATTACAGTCAGGTGTGAGGCTTCAGAGGGTTTTTTTGTACGTAATGGTTATAGGCTTTTTTTCTTCTTTTATCATGGGAGAGCCACCTGTTAACAGCACAGATAGGCAAACGGGAGGGGAAAGCAATGCTATTTGGGCACCCTAGGTAGTCCAAAGCTCTTATTCAACGTGTCTAGATTTAAAGAGTAATTTTTAACATTCTTAGATCCTAACACATGCCTTTAGAAATGAAATCTAAACCTCACAAGGTATCACTTCTATTTTCTTAGTATGTGAAAGGAAACTAATATGCCTGCAGTAACATTCATAAATAATTGCTTCACCTTCTGACCCACAGTCCTAATTTTCCACAGAGCTTAGAAATGTCACATTTCAATACACTATAAATATCTTTCACCTCAGGAAAAACTCAGGTCTATATGGGCTCAGTGCAAGTGAAATATGTGTCTAGTCTTTCATGGATCTATGCATGTCCTGCTAATAAAAGCATCCAACACTTCAGTGTTACTGGCAGCTTCTGTTCTTACTTTCACTATCCTAGCAGTCACTGGTTTGCGTGCAAGAAATATGTACGGAAAAATCTGAATATAAAGCACAAAGAACATTAATAGCTCTCCCTGAAGACACAAACAGATGTATATATACAACACACTTCAAACACAGATTATAAACTTGGCTATGAGGAATAGAATTAGCAGCAGTAAAACTAAAAGCAACTATGGACCAGATCCTCAACTGATGTGGGAGCATCCTTGAAAGAAATCATCCTCCACTCAGGAGCCCACTAGCAGGTGCATCACTCCAGCTGCACACAATAGCCTCTAAGGCTGTCTCACCTACCACACACCTGAACATCCTGCCAAAGTAAGCTACCAAGGTACCTGATGGTACCTACCATTCTCGTGCAGGAAAGCAGGACACCTATCACAGATACCTAGCAGCAAGGTACCTCCTTCAGCCTTCCTTTTTCCACATCTCCTTTACTACAGTGCTAACCCTTTCTAACAGCATTGGCTGTGAGCACCCGGAGGAGCCCTGTGTTATGTGCGATGGTATGATGTGTTGACCGTAACTAAGAGAATCCTCCACTGCCCAAAGACAGCAGTTTGCAGACTCTTTGCACTAATTAAGTGGCATAAATGAGCAGCACTGCTGTTTGGAACATAAGCTGCAGACCTCATCTTATGTCCCAGTAAGTAGTACAAAGTCATAAGAAAAACACTATTTTCACTTTCAGAAATACTATTCTTTAGCTAGGAAGGACCTGCTTGTAATTTTGTGCATGCAAAGATAAATTACCTGAGCTTTATCATATAAAATAGTAAAACCGTAATCTACATGTACACATTTTATAGGCTGTGATAATCTTTGCTAGCAACATAAGGAATATTTGTTTACTTTATATGCAAAGGGGGGACTGAGGCGTAAAGAACAAAGTGCAATAAGAGGTGTTGGGAACAGAAGACCTGAAGCAGACATCTATTTACAGCAATTCAAAGCTGCACGAAAGAAAAACAAAATAAAATCTCTATTACTGGAACAGATGTTTCTGAGACAGGAACAAAAACTTTTCTTACAAAAGTAAGAAAATCCCAACATCTGGAAATGTAAGTGGTAGCAAAAACTGTAGGACTAAATTAAATAAAGATAATAGGTCTGAACTACTAGAAGGGCATCTGTGAAGTAAACCAACTGTCGATGAATTAGCTGGAAAATAATTTTTGAGAAGATGAGGCATTAAAAAGTATTTTGGCTTTCAGTTGGTTGAACTGACTAGAAAGAACACATGAGAATTTAAAACTAAAAATTAAATATCCAAGTCTTCCTGGACATTATGTGAATAATTCCACCTGTGACAAAACTATAAAGCAGCACTGGAATCCAGATAGCACAAGCTGCCACGTGTGCAAAATCTGACATGATTAATCATTCTTACTCGAAAGCCATTCCTGTGACCAGGAGTACTGTGACAAATAAGCAATTAAGGGGTAGAATATACTACTCGAGTGCTGCATCAAGCTGCACATGATTCTGTTTCATATTTCTACACCACCACCAAAACACCACAGAGAACTGTGAAGTAGCTGTTCCAGCAGAGTACTTTTTTTGACTCAATGACCATCCTGTCTCCTTTTGCTAGGCACCTCACGTAAGTCAGACAAAATAGCAAGCTTTTAAAATAGGATGTTGGTAAAATAATTCAATATAGTTTTTAAGAAGCCATCAGAATTTTTTTTGTAGCCATTTAAAATACTCAGTTGTTTCCATTTGTTATGTTTAGCTTAAAAAGACAACAAGGTATCCAAAAGAACCATATTTTAGGTGCAAAACACAAGCATCATCAACTAGCTAAACATGACACATGCTTTTGAGTTATCTTTCTCACCTCAAAACCTAGAAAATATTAACTTAGTCAACAATTTGTTCCCCTTTATTTCTTCCTCTGACTTTGAGCTCTTAATACCTGCACAATGTTGCTGCCTGCAAAACTGGCTCGTCTCCATATCCGCCCTCTGGCCAAAGCCTCGTTTAACAGGTGAGCTAGTTTCCGCTCCATCTCAGCCTGAAACACTTCCTCCTGAATTCGCTGGTCGACGACACCCAAGAGAACTACATTGCAGAGAAAGTAACCCAAGAACACAAATGAATTAGTAAAACTTTGCAGTGTCTTTTCTGCAACTGCAATTACAAGCTTTGAGTCACCCTGTGACATCTCACGGACAATTCAAGAGCAGCTGTATTCATATGGGAATACTGCCCAGTTCAGCTGGAGGTTACATGTTGGAAAGCAAGACGTTGGGTGGGAAAAAGCTAAAAGAAAGAAATTAAAAAAAAAAAAAAAATAGAGCAGAGGGCATTTTTGGAATCTCAGCCAGTCTAGACGGACCCAGGATACTGAAGAAAGTTTCAATTCTAAAAAAGCATAAACTTATGAGCATTCAGTGAATTGTTTAAAAACAAATAAAAGAGAAAATTCAGTCCAAATTGCCTGCTGCAACTACTTGCAGCCAAAATGTTGTGTTTGGAAGTGATACACAGGTGGAGATGGGCAGGGCAAGGGTTCAGAATCAAGGAGAAAAAAATAGGAGACCAGCAGCGCATGAACGAAGCTGTGTATTCCAAGCGCATCCTCCCTAGATAAGATAAAGATTAACAAGTATGACAATCATAGCACAAAAAAAACTGGTTAGTAGCCCTGCCCACTTCACTTCCCAACCCCAGGTACTCCGGGCCACTGGGGCACAGCTAATGCTGAGAGGAATCCCTGAGGAACAACACATAGGAAAACATGAAAAAAGTGTGGACCTTTGCTAACAAGACGACATCCTGTAAAAGTGGAGTGAATGGAGCGAGAGTCATTCAAATGACCTAATTAAACAACCCTAAAGGATAGTAAACCAACTCACCGCTGACTGCAGTAAAATAATTCAGTTTTCATTCCTGAGGCTCTCCCCTAAAATGGTTTATATTTTTTAAAAGTCCCCTTTTCAGTAAGTGTTTTCATGTTTATTTTTTCAAGTGTGGTGCTTAATAAAACCCCATCCGATTAGATAAAATCAATTAAATATAATTTTAATTGTTTTAATTTTAAAAACAAAAATATTAAAACTACTTTTTCCGTTAAAAAATTTTCACTGCAGATGTCAGAAAAAGGAAACATTTTCATGATTTCTCACAGATATCAACAGCATCTGCCTTCTAAATTCAATCACAGACTAGGTATCTCAGAATTAAATAGCAAAATAAATAGAGAGTGGCCTAAGGCTATTATATACAGCAAGTAGAAGACCGTTCTTGCCTGTGTATTGAATTTCAGTACCAATGAATTACGCTTAATAGCATGAACTGTATTCTACAACTGAGAGGGACAGCTACAGAGAACATTGCGTATCCCAACATTTTATGACTGTTGGGATACATGCACATATATCTGGGTAATGTAATATTAAAAACCTCATCTTTACGTGCATATATTCTACCATTTTCCTATGTCATGCGTCATTACCCTTACAATACAATATACAGACTGAAAGGACTGACCCAGCCAAAGTCTACTAGCTTTTACCAGGCTGCCTGCAAGAACTGGGATTACAAAAAATTCCTCTGCAGCAAAAATGGTGCTGCAGTTGGCTTTCAAAATCTTACAGTCTGGAAGTTTAGAAAAACCCAAAGGAACATGACTTCTGAGCTGGAAGAACCTCTTCCTACTGCAGGATCTAAGGGAACTTCCAGCAACAATGGACAAAGCAAACCTAAGGCTGAGCAAAAGAGGGTGGGGGTGTGACCAAAAAAGCCAACATAAATCTCTAAGGAAGGATGACATTGGATGTGGGATACACATACGTAGCTTCTCTCACGTTACTGAACGTGATCTGAAATTCTTCATTTTTCTTCTCTAAAACAAACTGTGTGAGCTTCAGAAATTAAGTTGCAATTCCTGCTTAGAAAGTAAACTGGGTCACTGGTGAGAGGAGACAGGGATACCTGAAAAAAGAGTAAGTCTATACTACCGGTGGAAATGTTGTGGGAAGACAAAATTGTATCCAGTGGGGCATCTGCACCCTAACAGCAAGGTTACTAGGCATAGCCTGGTCACTTTTGAGGCTTTCTGCTTAAAAGAAGCAGGTAGGACCTACAGCGTGCAGGCAACCTCAACAGCCTTTGAGCATCTAAATGTGACAGCTCAACCGTATCTGCGAATTATAGAATAAAACATCCAGAAGACTTGCGTGAGAGGGATCTGCTGTGAATGAATTGGAAGAGATCAATGGAATGTGATGAAACTCTTTCATGTACTCGGAATGTATCTGTTTTCATTCTGTTTTATTCCTGGCATGTTTTGGTAGAAAGTGCCACACAAATAAAATTTTAATTTTCACTTAAAATAAAAACCTAAAAATCAATGTGGTATATTGACAGCATGCAGAGTAGACACTTTAGGCCTGACAGTGTAAGTTGTCTCACTAAGAATGAACTGCTTTATAGACAAAAACTACTTTGTGTGCATTATCAAGGAATTGCAGTAGTTCATTCTAGACCTAGGAATTACATTTCCCAGATATTCCAGGTCACGAGGCCTTTGCCTTTAGAATTTATTCAGCTCAGGCACGTTATTACCTCATAAAAATGCAGCACCCCTAAGCTATCTATATTTATGTAGGCAAGTTACCCTACTAACAAAAATAATTGCGCTCTTACTTACTCACAGAGACGATACGTACCTGTTCTCACCCAGGAAGATTTCATCAACTGAGACACATTAAGCTTAGGATAATGAAAGGCTGAGGGAAAAACAGAATGGAGGAAAAACATCCGTAAGAACAGTATTCTCAACAACATACACAAGAAAAGAAGCCGCTTCATAATTTATACTGTCAGTAAGCATCTTATTTACACAGATGTATTACTACTCCTGAGGCTATGCAGACACAACGGCAAGGAAAGTGCTCCGAACATACACTCCCCAGTTCATCTCTGAGCAAAAAGAACCTAACTGAAGCAGTCAGATTTACTACCTGAAAGATTTCAAGCTGCTGTACCAAAGTCGTTGCTCCTAGAAATTTAAAAGCTCACTGTCCGAATTGTGACTTCTACTGAGCTAGCTGCAGGATCAGACTTTTGCTCAAAGGGCAGCAAGGCAACTCATGAGTGTCTCAGAATGAAAATAAGACCTTCTCTGAAGCAGAAACTACATACAAACGCTAAATGTAAAGCAGAAAACTAAATATATCTGATTTGTGTTGCAGACTTGTGCAGGGGGAAGCATTTAAAAAACACCACCTTGATATATATATTTTTTTTTTAATAAAAATCACAAAGAAATGCATGTAGAAACATTTCTGTAGACAAATCTCATGGTTTGTGTTTGGCTTGGTGGCTCCAAGCTTTCTTAATTTCTCAATTCTTCCAAAAAAAGCTTGCTCCAGAGTGAAATCCTTGCCCCAGTGAAGTAAATAAAGTCTATTTCCATTGACTTCAGTAGGGATAAGATTTTTCCCAAGGTTTCCACTGGAGAGCAGTAAAGACATGTTGGGAAAGAAATTAAGATGGGGGCTGGGCCAACAGTTTCCTCAAGGGAAGTCTTAAGCTTCGCTATGACAGTAAGAAAAAGGAAGGGTCTTAACTTTCTCAAAATATTTAATCCAGATGCACATTGTTAAGCACTATACAAAGGTTAATTTTTAAACCATTTCATGGATGGAAAGAATGCAGCATATAACAATTAAATGACCTGATCCGTGCTAGATCAGTTTAGAGTAAAGATGTCCTGCCTTCAGTTGTAGAATAGGTTGGCACTATTGCATGTTTTGGAGAAATAGAAAATTACCATTTTTCTAATTTAGTTATGCAATAATTTGTAGAGTAGCTGACCTCTGTCAGTGTACCTAAAAACTGATGCTTTTGCCCCTTAAAAAACTTACCTTTTTTTTTTTAAGGCATGAGCAAAAGAATTACTAGCTATGTTGTACCTTTTATTTTCATAGATTTATAAATAGTCCCATGGAAAAAAAATGAAAAATTTTTTATTCCACCTTTATCTCAATAGCAGCACCACTAGCCTCAAGAGAACCAGGTGGGAGGTACTTTATGACTTACTATTCAGAAGGCTATCAGAATATTGTCCTTTATGCTGAACAGGAAACATCAGACCTCTATAGACTGACCGAGATGCATCAAATTTCCAAAACTCTCAGACACACAAAAAGCACCTCACAGTCCATTTAAACAAACACATTTATTTTTGGCATCCTGATACACGGTTCTTCTGATCGTAGCTTTTAGATTGAAGTTCTATTTACTCTGGTCATGCAATTGTTTACTTCAATTTAGAAATACAACCTGAACAAAAAAGCATAAACTGAACTGCATCTGTTGTTTTTCCAAAGCATGGAAAGAGCAAGATAAGAAAATCAAAAACCTTCCAATGACCATAAAACTTTGAACTGCTGGCAGTTGTGAGTTTTTTCTTCTTTTAAAGCAAAATCATGTTTTGCCTCAATACTTAATGTGCTCTTCACACTTTTTCTAATTAGTACTTGAAAATGATTTAATTCATGCAAATTGCTGGATGACTATTCACTTAAACTTTTCACGGAATTAATGAAATTTAAAAATAAAACAACTTGAGGAGAAAATCTTGAAATTGGAAAGGGAGAGGTGCTGTGATCATTGGCAACTAAATCTGGGTTCTAAAACCTGACGAAGAATGCATGAAATGATGGACACTTCTGCAATTGAGACCATCATCAGAAGTCAGAAAATCCAGGCTCCAACTCTTATTCCACAGGTCACTGAAGCGTCTCGCCAGCTCACGTGGCCAGATCCTGAACTCAGCTGGAGTCTCAGCACTGCAGCAAGATCCTATTTGCAAGATTCCTAATGCCCCCTGGAACTAATGATTAAAAACAGCACAGTGATTGTTATTCTGAGGGGGAAGTTGGATAGACAAAATGCAATTATTAGTTAGATTGCAGCTGGTCTGCTAATGACTATAGATGCATTAATGAAGGAGATGCTATCATCACTAGAAGATTTTAACACACAGCCCTGAAGCACCATACTGCGTAACAGCATTGATTCAATGCTGACTGAAAGGGCAAAGGGTCACCTAGTCACCCAGAAACCTCTTGACAGCAATCTGAAGCACACCACTCAGGCAACATGGCCTTCGCCAGATGCTCCAACAAGGATCTCTCCGACCCTCTCTCTCATAAAGAGGCGTGTGGGACCATGCAGGATAGAACCAGTACCATATTGATTGTCCTTATTTCTGATAAATGGAGGAACAGTAATAGAAAGCATGGAGGGAATGCAATGTTTGGAATGAGAAGGCATCAACTGAAAAATAAGATTCCATGCAAATATTGGGGTGCAGGCAATAGTAACACACTGTATCTGTTAAAAGTCTGATGCAAAATCCACACAGATAAAAATTACCAATCGTTTCTCCAGTCTTTGGGCTGTATCATATGATTTCGTATTAGCCTATTGGCCCTGCAACATCTGCAAGATATCTGAAATAGATGCCACCCATCAAAGTGCTACTTATGGCACTAAAAAAAATAGCAAGTCCCAAGGCAACTCTCTCTATTTAAAGCCATAATAAAACCAAAGAGATTTATTGGCGGTAAGTTCATGAAGGCAAATATTCCTCATCTAGTCCACAGCTAGCCTTTGCCTATCCTCAGAGGAAATCTTTCAGCCATAAAGAGATACCAAATATATTCTTTCCTATTGTTTTTAATGAACTAGCACCCAAAAACTGTGATGAGACTAGGTTTTCTTTCTGCTGACACGTAGTTCATGACCATCTAACCAATTTACAACCTAAAATGTGAGATCTAAGGTGGACAACGCAAAACAAGCATGCAGGAAGGTATAAACTGAACATTTGAATGTAAGCATGTTGCTGAAGTCACCTAGAAGTCTGTGGGGAAAAGAAAAAATTCTGGAAGTTTCCAGGCTTGACCACTCCAACAGCCCTATTCCTGCAGACACCAGTCCGTTCTGTCAAACTAACAACTTTCACTGCTGACCCTGACTCTAAATGAGTGGAAAAAGCTGACAAAAAAATTCTGTTGTTAATGACGTACTGCACAGGGACAACCCACACAGTTAGAAGTATAAACAGTACCTATTAGTCACGTGAAAAACCCGGTGAAAGGACTGTGTGTGAAAGGCAATGTGAAGTGAACAAGCAGCAGGGAGCAAATACATTCCTTCAAACAAGGCTCATATTGGGGATATCGAAGGCAAGCTCTCACTTCACTTAACAGTGTTGAGATACAGTGATATTATACAAGTAGCTTTTCCTCAGTTCGAATCAAGTTCAACTCCCTGACAGCTCAGCTCACCTACAAATCAGTTCTTTTTCTTCAGATGCAGACTATAAAACTTACAAAATCATATAAAGAGCCCTCAGGGGGAAAAAAAAAGTCACCACCAAGAGGATTAACTGTTACCACGCCTGATAACTAAGGCACAAATGGCATAGAACAGTATGGCAAGGAACATTTCCTATTTACATATAAACAATAACACACATACATTGTTTATATGTAAATATGTAAATATATAAATATCCAAAATTCCCCCCAAAATTCACATTGAAAAGCAGAGGGTTGCATATTGATTTGCACAGAGCAAAGCAGCTACCGAAGGAAGATCTTCACAAGACCCTCCCTGCTACAACTCCTCTGTAAACTGAGGGATGGCATTAAAGCAGAGTTCAGGGCCTAGAAAACAAAAATATTTAGGCATCTTCCTGCCAAAGTAGCTTTGAGGATCTGGCTGTTGGTCATCCTCAATAGAATGCTGAATAAGATGTCTCAAGAAGGATCTGCCCAATGCTGCTGAGCCTTTGGACATGATTTCTGGCTCTGAATACTTAAGATCGAAAATCCTTTGGCTCAAAATACAGTCACAGCAACAGTGGAAGAAACTGTAGAAACAGCTAAAAATAACCGAGTGTGATTGCCTTGCTATGAAAGCACATGAGCTACATTCATTATCGTGCTTGCTGACAGACCCATAGCTCTAATAAGCTGAGAAACTGTGTTCCCACTTTGCTGACTTATCAAATGTCACCATGTCTGGTGTCCCAAAACAGTGACTACAAATGTGCCGAAGCACTACTGAGACCAAACCAGACAAGTTCAAATCAACATGAGCTGTCCTGCAGTAGACTCAATCTACAGTAAATATGAGTTCCTCTAGCAACATGCAAGTCAAATGCTGACAAGATGCTCTTTGATTTAGGGCACCATATCCACCAAAACCTCATGTTTTCTACATTGCAAACTTTGGGAAGATCTCATGTTTCCTAAAAATTCTGAATTACTAAATTGAAATTTAATATACTTATTCTAGTTTGATTTATTGCATGTATTTTATTTATTTTAATTCAAAATTAAAAGTTTTGAAAATTCAGTCTAGACAAATTTGAAGGTAGTCTTCAAAATTTCTCTGTCAAACAAACTAAGACACCCCACCACCAACAAACTCTGGCTAAGATCTCTGAGGCAAGTGATCTGCTCTGTTGGCAACATTGATTCAATAAACTATGGCAGCAGTTAGGCAGGGTCATTGAAGGCAAGGGTGTATACATGGCTTGTTTGGCTGCCATCATTCCCACTACCGGGGATGTGCACCAAAGCAATAGCATTTTTCAAGAGCTCCAGATATGAGAATCTGGGAATAAAGTGTGTATCACGATGGACTTAGTCACCACTGATGAGATACTCTGCCTTCCTACACTAAGGGAGGATTGAGGATTTGAGGTTCAGTAGTGTTTGGAAGATTTGGTGGATTTAAGGGGAGGAAGAATAATTATTTTGTGTTTGAAGTCTAGAGGCCTGTGCTGCAATTTGCAGGAATGAAACTACCACACCGTTGGCATGCTTGCATAGGATTGCCAACGGGAACAAACAATTCCTGAAGCTTTGGAAACAAAGTTATAGAAATATCTCACCCACAGGCTGGGACATGCCACTGTACTAGCAGAGGCTAAATTTGCCAGGCCATAACAGCCAACAACTACATGACTTCATTGCAAATCCTCAGAGTAGTCAGGAAAAGAGGAGAAATCCTAGTGGGACCTTTTTCAAAAGGCACTGCCTGACCTCGTCACTCATTCTACTTCGCACGGCTTTCTCATTAACATGTGAGCTATCACAGAGCTCCACTGCCATCGGCCAAGAATCAGACCCACTGGCCAGGCATTATAAGCATAGGGATAACACCATAAGCACTAAAGAAATTACCTTCAAATTTCCTAAGTACCATCAGGAAAGGAAAATAAGAACAGTGTACATGCATGTTTAATAGGAATGTTTTTCCCCTGTGACCAGCCTGTCTTTCAGGATATATCTGCCTTGGTAGAAATTCTGTTATAATTTAATTGCACTGTAGCTCCATCGCACAATCCAGAAGACGGATTCTCAGCAAGGGGCAACCTGCCAATTCACTACAAGTATCGCTCCAGAATATATGGACAAAACTAAAAACTGTAGGACCAGATGTGCATACATCATAGGAAAAAAAAGCCCCATGACACCAAAAATGTTACCCAAGAGACTAAAAGTGATAAACTTTAGAGCAAAGGTGCAAAAGAGACCACACAGAATAAAGAGAAATGTCTTTCAAGCAACCAAGGCAAGAGCAACATTTAATCTGAATTCAGTGAGAGATAAAGACCACGGCCCACACCCTGAGAAGTTCTGTGGTCTCACAAGGAACAAAAGAAATGCTAGTCATCTATGGACAGGGATTCTCAAGGCTTTTGGTCCTGGCTTAATTAAATACAGCTACCACTGCACAGGTACAGTCTGTGTGAGACCAAATAAGAGCAGAAATGTTTAAAGGAAATGAGTCAACCACCTTGTACATGTTTTAATTGACTATGGGAGCAGAAGGTTCAAAAATGCTGAAAAATGAAAACAAGAATTTTCAAAAAATTAGTACATTTAAACTACTTCTAGTCATTGGGAAAGTCTCCTGTGCAGTCATCTGATACAGATTTAAAGGGGCTATAGAGAACAACATCTGTAGACAATCACTCTCTTTACAGTATCTTCATTGACATACTATTGCACAGCTGTATAATGAACAAGCAGCTGCCATTAGGCCTGATTTTCCACTAGACGTTTAACTGTATAGCAAGAATCACTGTCTCTGATGTTACGCACCTACATAGCTCACAAAAATAACTCCAAAAATTAAAAATCTGCATTGGAAAGCACAGTGAGATAGGAGAAAAGGGGAATTAATGGACTGAGCTAACAGTAACACCCACAAGGGGGGAAAGGCAAGTACTGTTCTCTCATGATCTTGCTTATGTTCATGAGTCATTTCTGTCATGAACAATCCACTAGTGTAATTAGGTTAATTGTTGAGTTTAGAAACTTGGCTTATTTATGAGACTGAGGTCATCTGAAAAATCTAACCAAACATAAGTTGTCAAGGCTGAGCGTCAAGAAAACTCTGCTATGCAGGCAGATCCCATTAATCTAAGTTTAGGATGGCCAAGGACTGGAAAAAATGACTTGCAATGCAAGTTGTACATAAGAAGCGAGAGATATGCTTAAAAGGTAATACCTTAAAAGGTAACAGACTACTCAGAAGAGCCCTGCTGCTGACTAACAGATAACCCAGACAGACTATATGGGCAAATATAAGCTTTTGTTGCCAGTGTCCCAGGCTTTCTAGAAGTCAGAGCCACAGTTAAGTCCAAGGCAAAGCCCAAGGTCGTAAACCCTGCTGAGAAGCAGCAAAGGCCCCTGTAGACATAACCACAGAGACACACCTTGGAATGTACTTCGCAACAATATCAATCAAAGTGACTTTTTTTTTTTTTTTTAAATCTGGACTAAGACCAAGGGACTAATGAAGCCAGGTTAAGCACTGGCCCAGCGCAAAAGGAAAGGATGACAACAAAAGCAGTAAGTTGCTGTAACACTGATATACAGTACGTGAGCAGAGTGTGGCATGGATTTGCTCTGCAGAATTCATGATACAAGTTAGGTACTTGAAGCTGCATTATTGCTTATGCACAAAATTACTTCAAAATTGTAGCGAGGAAAAAATACTAAAAAAAGTATTTTGCAGTCTTGGCAAACAGCAAGTACTCACGTTCAGCAATTTGCTGCACAGGAAAGCCCAGATAGAAGCTGAATTCCACCACGGACAAGTTTCTTAGCTGCTCACTGACTTCAGACCCATTTAGAAAACCGTACCTATCTCGGATGGCAAAAACAATGCTCACGGGGCCTTGCCGAAATGCCGCCCCAGGCCTGCTCAGAGTTACATTCAGTATCTGAAAAGACAAGATTGAAGCAGAGTCAGCAAAACCAAATCACTGGCATTTCCATTCCTTCCTTGACAATTTTTTTTTCCTAATATGAAGGGGGGGCAGTTCACATCAAAACAGAGGAACATCTATTCTATATTGATTCAGCCTGCTGAGTCTCAGAAGAGGCAAAGTTACATGTGAAATCCTCTTCGAAGAGTTATCCTTTAAGGTCAATCACAATCCAGAATGATCTGAAAGCTACAGTCCAGAAAATTATGAAAAAAACCACCTAGAGAGAGAGTCAGCAAAATAAATCTACCGATAAAGAAATCTTAGATGAAGACCAAACTGTGTGGAACAGATGGGAAGAAACCATGGTAAAGAAACATTCTGAAAATGGATGTTCTCTTGGTCAAAACCTCCTGCACCATGCACGCCCAGACCCTACCACTGGTTAGAAGCCTTATTTTGGCACCAATGTATACAGCAACTGTCTTCATGTAGACAAACCTCTTCCAGACAGTAAGGAAGTATTTAAAATAGAAGTTTGCTAAGCTGATAGTCCAAGAAATTGTTTTGCGTGTTCTGTCTTCAGTCTATCCAGTCACATTGTGTCATTCAGTCGTACACTTCTGAGCACTTTACTATATGTACTACATAGTACTTTAGGTACTATAAAGTTTATGCCATTTTTCCCACTACCATTTTATTTTAGGGTACCACAGATGGGCATTTATGGTGCCGGTTAAATAACATGATAAAATTTTTATTAATTTTGGTATTACAACAAAGCTAGATTAAATTTAAGAATTCAGACAGAAGAGGGAGTTGGTCTCATTAAGTTGAATTACTGACTTTCCAGGGAGTTTTAAGCTCTGCTATGTGATTCAGTACCCAGCACATATGTAATACATCTCATGTGTGAAGTTCCAGTAGCAGCTGCCACGGACATCATATACTGCTGTAAGTATTTCTAGACCTCAGAAGCAACTAGCATGTTTGCTCACATAATGGCAGAGTGCATCGAAGTCCTATATTCCCTAATAAGATCCCCTGAGTGACAATGAGACCTGAAAGTTGTCTTCCAATAAAAACATTCTAACCACAGCCTACTCTGTAATAGTAAAATCTGATGGGAATGACTTTGATAAGGGTTGGGGCAGCCTTTATACTAAAAAGTATAAACCCAATTATATTCAATAATGCTTTTGGATATAAATTATCATCTTGGATCATTTTTTCAAAAAGCTTGAAACCAGAGAGATATGTGGTGCCACATTATTTTGTAGGGGAAAAAAATCCTGACTTCATGACAAAGCTTCATAGTTCTACATGATCTAGATGGCAAGTGGTAGCCAGTGAACACCTAACTCATTTTACTGGCTGGATGAAACACAGGACAACCAAAGATGAGGAGGAAAAGGGACAGACACAAAACTTACCTGCACAGTGAAGTTGTAGAACTCCTGATGTTTGCTCACTTCCATGAATGCCATTTTCAGCCCTTTCTCAATGCGCCGGCTAAAGTTGCAGAACCCAACATCCACGTTCCGAGGCACAAACTGAAGCACTGAAGGCAAAGGGTACACATTATTCCTACAGACAAGTACTTCTATGAGAGAGAACAGAATGAGCAAGAGAATCCACAAGGCTATCACTTTTTCATGGAATTCAGGACATATTCAGTGAAACACTGGGTAGAAATACAGTAGAAATACATTTTGGTTGGTGCAGTAAATTCTTTATTCATTAATATCTGTTGCAGTGGTAATTAGATTACCAAAAGATATTAGTGACAAAATACCCACTGTTTCCTCTTGCATACTGACAGACCTTCACTACATACATGTGGCTAATTTTACAGGACTTGAACACTGAATCAGCCACGCTGAAATCCTTAGTACTCAACAGATCAATGAAAATGTTGAGTAAAAAGGCAACAAATCTCTTTTTCTTGTAGACTCAAATATAGTATTTAGCTTGTCTAAAAGACCACATATTGGGTCCATTAATACACATTAGTATCACTCTAACACTTTCAAAACACTTAATTAGCACACAATCTTTTAAATCTAGATACATACACCTTAAAGTCTTTCACAGGGGAGAAAGAGAGAGCACAGGAGAGAGAGAGAGGGCGTAGAGGAATGTGAGCAGGCACACAGACCTTAACTACATGCACATCTGTGGATTTCCTGATATAGTCTTACCCAAAGAAATGCTATGATTAGGTTACAGACCCTAATAGCAATGTTATACAAGGTTCAAGAACAGAAAATATGTCTACTGTCTATATAACCATTGTTAAGCAGTGGAAAAAGACATCACATCTGCACAATTAAAGAAGTGATGTCTTACCATGCAGTTATTAACAGAGCAGAAACAACACATGAAACATACCTGAACAAAAGCACCATGGTGACATTCATTAACTCTCTGCCTATATACTCAATCCCTGTCACTACCTCATTACGCAGTCAACTGACCAAGCAGGTGGTTTTGCTATGCAAATACTGCCTGAAGATGATTTTAAATTATACCACTGACTCTCAAAATCTATTACATGGGTAGTACTTTACTTTAGTTTATTAGTAGTCATGGACTTCACATAAAATACTGCCATACAGCAGCCATGGAAGGCTGAATACTACATGAGCAATCCTCCTGCTCACATTACACGTGAGCAATCAATCCTCCTGCTCACCAATTCCCCTACACTGTGAGAATTCTAAAAAGTAGCTTTTAAGGTAAACATAATTTGAAACTTGACTCAAGCATTACAAAGTAGCTGCACTGTCATTTTATGAGTAAATGTTTCAGAGAAATTTTTATCTCTTCTTACCTTTTGAAGCAAGAAAAAGAGCACAGCTATTTTGCAACATGCCAAAAAAATTTTCCTGAAAAATCATGGAACGATAGGGTTAACCATTTACAATTTATCATCTCTCAACCACGGATCCGGCAAGTATTTCACTAACAACCAAGAATTAAGATTCACAGCAGTAGAACACAGGGTTTTGACTCGACCTTGCATACTTAATCACAAGTGAAGAAGTGTGAATCAATATGAAGCTACATCTCCTCTTCTTTGTGTCAGGAAGAACTCACCTGTCTGAACTTGGAATCTGTTATCTGGCACAGTGAAAGAAGGATGCAGTGAAAGGATCATGGGGGTCTCACCACAAAGAAGACTGCTGTTCACAAGCACATTTATGACAGCTACTGCCGTGTAAACAAAAGGACCTGATGTCACCAAGAAAGCAAATTTGGGGGAAATTTTATAAACCTACAAAAAAAGAAAAAGAAATTTAAAAAAAAAATCTTCAATGTGAAATTTGGCAACACTTTAGACCTACATAGTCTTATGCATTTCAAAGTCACATCAACAAGAGGTAGGAAAATGCGATCTTTATTTTTCAAAGAGAGAGCAGAAGCATAAACACTGGGCTAGCGCTGTGCCCTGCAGCCTCTGCTCTAGCGCACCAGAGAGGCAACTCCCCTGCGCTAGGTGCATCTACTAGAATCTCTTCAGCACAACACACCAATCTCAACACTTCTTATTTATCACATCCCAGCACAGTAGCACTCCCCCTCACCTGCATTCCCCTGGAGTACATAAGAGTTCCCATACAAAATTTCTGTTTTCTTACTGAAC